TTCAAGGGTTTTAGCTGAGGCGGCTTGTTGACCGATCTGATAGCGTGCGGACATTGAGTGCAGTTATGTGGAAAGGAGATTTTGGTTTCAAAAATCTGATAGCCTCTGAGTGGTTGGTCTCATCAGTTGAACACTGAGTGGTATCCGACGGGCGGCGCAAACAGGATGCATCTCTTAAGGTATGGAAGTGAGAAAAGGAAATACAGTTGAGAAAAACGGTTCTCCAAATGGATACGTAAGACTTTTGGGCACGGCATACTTCGCAGTTGCCCACAGCGACGAAGGTGTTTTTCTTTGGGAACCCTAACCGGAGCCGTTGGCTCAAGAGTCTGACCCACGAGGCAATGGGGCGTTAATCCAACGCGGGAGCGTGAACGAAGCACCTGTGTGGGAGCTTCTGGAGACCTGTCACGCAAGGCCTTTGAATTTCGGTTAAGTTTGTTGTTCGCTGGTGCGTTGATTATCGGTCCGCTTTTCGGGATCAGCGCTTAACCTCATGCACCCAATGAGACAAGCGGAACGTGGACGGAACAGCACCTTATTGGCTGGGGGCTGCTCAGCTTGGGTGGGCGGTAGCTGTCCAATGAAGTGCGAAGACCTCTCCCACCGTCGAGACGAAGCCCCAGGTACCCCGCTTCTACGTCTACCTGAGGGGGGGGGGTCGACCGGTAAACTGCTCCTCACCGTGTTTATTTGCTGGAGTGGCCTTTCCAAGGGCGGATGTGGATAAAGGAAAGAAGCCAGGAGGTGCCTAAGCAGCTGGCTTTGTGTGACTGCTTTTGTCTGGCCTCTACCCGTTGACCATTCAGGCATGATTGGATCTGCGACTGAGGAGCCATCCTGTGTAGCTCGCAGGGTCACAGAGGCGCGCAAGCCATCACAGCACGCTAAGGTGCAGTCTTGTAGTGTGCATATTTGAATTAGTTGTGACGAATTTCACGAGAAGACACTCCTGAACATATCAAGATCTGATTACCTGTTACTGGGCGGTTCACTGAACCTTGCTTGCACCGGACTAAGAGCGTAGCCGACGGATTGGTTAAGGATAGCACCGAGCGAGTCTCCAGGTCGTGGACAGAACGGCCACCTTGGCGATAAACCGCGTAGCGATGAGGGCCACCTCACTAAATAATCGGTCGCGAAAAATCAGCAACTATGATAGAGGATGTGGTGGGGTTTCCAACTGATAAACGATATTCCTGACTCCTGATGGCATCGTGACGTGTGCGAATGTGGCCCGCCACCAAATAAAGCCGTTGTCCCTAGCTTTTCCACTAGGGTGGGATGAGGTTTGCGAGGAGCGTATGGGACAAGCACTAACCACTGACTGTCACACAGATATCTACTCCAGACTAGTGTACACTTCTCGAGCCTAGGATATGCGTGCATTCATCCATTTCGTCAAGCAACTAACTGAGTGAGAGAAAACCGGCAAAGCGAATACAAAGATTAACAACAACGGCGATAAAACAAAGAAGATTCAACCATCAACCAAATTTTGTTTACATCGAGCCTTCATGATGCCCTCAAGTACCTCAGCATAGCAACGAGGAAGTGCATGGTGCATAAACTTGAACTGCTTACAATTTGTTGAAGGTCGGCATGGAAGAAGAACAAAAAGTAGAATAAAAAAAGGGAACTACAGTGCAACGAACCATCGGTGAGGAAGCGGCGAGTTTACGGCAACGCATCACCAATTCTTCCTTGAAACATTTCGGATAGAGCAAATCAGAGGCTAAACCACGTTGTAGAGCTTCCCGCGCGGACAATTTTCGACCAGTCAACAGTAAATCGTTTGCCTGCATTCAAATGAATTAAGAACAAGGGAGAGTGAGTGCATGCAGTTTTTTAGTTTCTTTTTGCACATTCTAGTGCAATGAGAGACTTAAAAAACTTGGAGACTGTGAAAAAAAGCATTTTGGAGAACATCATCAGCTGACACTTTTTGCATGTTGGTCACTAGTACCCACCAGCACAGTAGTGTAGGAAATATCAAGCGCATTGCAAAGGAATAACCGGTAACCAGATACTCACCAGGGGCAAACCAACTAATGAGGCCAGTGTGAAACTAGCTCCTCCCTCAGGTATCTGACAAAGTTTTGTATAAGGAATCTGAAATGTAGCAGCATCGCTCACATAGACCAAGTCACAAAGTGGGAGCATTGCAACGGCCAAGCCCATAGCAGGTCCGTTTACACCCACCACGACTGGTTTTGGAAATGCGACAAGAGCAAGGAGGAACGCGCGCAAGGTTGAACCAAGTCGCTGACAAACAGATTGATCAGTGCAACTGATATTGGGATTAACAGGGCGATTGGACGAATTGTGCGCACAAGTTGCTGAGTTGGAGTGAACGAATTTGTTGCAGTTACCAGTAGACGATGTGGATTGCGACGCGCAATAGCACTGATGAGCTGAAGGAACAGTATGGGCCTGATCCCAAGGGGCAGAGGCAGAATTGGAATGACTATGGAGTGAGTTAGCTGACATAGATCTGCATGGTAGCGGACCAGTGAGCACAGTCAGATCGATCCCCGCACTGAACACGGTTCCCATTCCACAGATCATCACAAGTCGACTGGCATCGAAAACTGCTTGGTTTAAAGCAGCGGTGAGCTCTTCTAGCACCTGAAACGTTGAAAATCAAAATCAAGGTTTAACGACATGAAAACAAACATAGTCAGTGGTTTTGGAATGTGATAAAACTCGCCCGATATCGTAGGGTATTACAAAGAAATGATGTCTTTTATATATATACGTGTGGTAAACGGTTCTGCCGTGGCCCGGGTCAGTACCATCACCTAGTCATCAGGACCTTATGCGGTCGTCACTACAAGTTCCAGGGCTAGGTAGTCGGTCACCTCTTATCTCACTATGAATACTACAACAGGATCACTTCTTAGGCGCACTCATCAACATCCACTGCTTGAATCACAATATTGATTATGTACATCAACTTCCTCTTGCTCTATTTTTATTCAAAACACAATTTTATTCTTCTACAAACACCACCTATCTTTTCCAATTTCCCAATTATTCCTTGCACGCTTTATTCATCTTCAAAGTTGATGTTTGTCCATCAGGACGAGACTGCACCCTGATGTGGTGTGATGGCTTACGTGCCTTCATGGTCCTGTGAGCTACACATGATGGCTTTTCACAGCCACAGATCCAATCATGCTTGAAAGACAAATGGGTAGAGGCTAGACAAAGCTATCTCACAAGACCAGTTATTTGGGCACCTTTTGGATTCCTTTGATTATGCTCGCGAATAAACACGGTGAGAGGGAATTTACCGGTTAAAAAACATCGCTAGATGGAAGTAGCAGGGGGAAACTGGGGATACCTCCCGAGGGTGGGAAAAATCATCACATCTCATTAAACAGCTGCCGCCCACCCAAGCTTGTAAGCCCCCAGCCAATAAGGTGCCATCCTGTCCACGTTCCGCTTGTCCCATTGGGTGCACGAGACTGAGGGCCAATCCCGAACAGCGGACCGACAATAAACGTACCAGCGAAGAATACACTGAACCGAAACCTGGAAGCCCTGCGTGGCAGGTATCTAGAAGTTACCACACTGGCACGCCTCCGAGTTGGATCTACACTCCACTGCCTTGTAGGTCAGACTTTTGAGTCAAAGGCTACCGTTAGGATTCCCAGAGAAAAACTCCTTCGTCGGTACGGCCGTAGTATGCCGTGCCCCAAAGTCTCAGGCACCCCTTTGGAAAAATATTTTTTCCATCTGTCTAGTTTTTCCTCTCAATCTGGAATAATCCCAAATGCCTCCTGTTTACTTACTTTTAATTTGATCGACTGACTCGTGCGGGAGGATAAGTCGGCTTTTTGGATGTCTCTAATGATGGCGACCCAAGCATGACGATCGGTAGCAATGTTGACGCCATGCACTGGATATCACTCAACGTTTTGTCAGTAAGGCCAAAATTCCCTTTACACTGAGTTGCGTTCAATGTCCGCACACTCTATCAGATTGGTCAACAAGCCGCCTTAGCTAAAACCCTTGAAAATTTCCATTTAGATGTATGCCATGTCTCCGAAACACGCACACAAGATCCTATTTCAATCATCATCTTGTGATCTCCAGATCCAGTCTCATCCTCACGCTTCACTCTCCGTGTCAGGCGATTCGGCATCCGAAGCTCGTGGTGTTGCTGGTGTCAGAATCGCGCTGAGTGGCAAGGCCGAGCGTTCACTTTTCGATTGGATCCCGATTAACAGCCGACTTTGCACCGTACGTCTGGATGGTTCAGTACGCGTCAACAGCTACAGAACGAAGGGTCGGTGCTTAATCGTAGTATAAGTGTATGCAGCGACCTATGGTCAGTAACGAAAACCAGCGCACGAAGGTGCATGGTTAATGAGTGTACAAGATGAAAAGATGAAGCTGGTGTTTACGCTTTCATCGATCATTAATTCTACCCCGTTCTCACACTTAAATCTCACCAACCGCAAGTTCCAGACTATGCGGTGGAAAAGTAGGTCCCTTTTTTTAATTACTACCTCTGCACTGCATACCGCTCCCCAATTAATAATGACTCTTCACTCTTAGATGTTTCATCAGCAAACATTGATAGCATAGTTGATGCAGACCCAAAGCTTAGTTCACAATTTCAGGTGATTTTAACGTCCATTACGGATTGGCTGTTACACTTCTCAGGAATATCGTCCCTTGCACGAAAAGCAGAATCATTTGCGCTATTAAAGAGTCTTCACCAAATGGTTGACTTCCCGACCCATGTTGGGAACCACGATCTCCTCACATTCAACTCATGATGCTTTTCAAATATTGCCGCAATTCCTCCTCGGGCTAATCAGACCATTGTCTTATTTTGCTCTGTACTCAAATTATCCATTCCATTGCTCCTCCCAATTCTGGAGGCACATTCTTGCGAAACGATTATGCTGATCGGTGCAGTTCTCCGGCTTCCTACCCCTCAAATGGATGTTGCTTCTCCGCCGATGTCTCCATCTCGGCTACGATACTTTCCAAAGTTTTTTCGGAAGGCACACACCTTTTTATTTCTCATTTCACCAAACCCGACAAGCCTCTTTTTCCAGAATGGGTTAATCACGCCTGTTGTCGCGCCGTTCGTAAAAGAAAATCAACGTTATGCGGCTGGCATCGTTCATTCTCCCCCCACCCGCATTCCCGCTGATGGTTCTGGTTAGCACGCAAAAACGGTACAACTACCATACCGAAGATCAAGGAAATCTCTGTTAAGCGTAAAACAGCATAGTTAGCAACCGCTCCTCCTAGAAGCCGGATGTTCTGGTCACCTGCTAAGACAATCTCCCGTAACTTCTGTCTCACTTACTTACCACCCATTGTTAAATTATCTGGGGATTCAGAGTCCGACCCGCTTGAAAAAGTCGAATTGTTGCTACCTATTTTGCTTCCAGTCTCACCCTACTCAAATCACCCATTCGACCCTCCACACCTACGGCAAACCATCTTTTCATACCACTCATTTACATCAGAAAGATACGTCAGATCCTCTTATCACGGGACCCACACAGGCCACCTAGACCTGACGGGATTTCTCCCATCTTCCTCCAAATGTGCGTCACAGAACTGGACCCTCTGCTGCGTCGCTTATTCTCTCTATCCCTCGATTCCGAGGTAGTCCCAACCTCATGGAAAATATCATATTTCCCATTCTCAGACCCAAACAACTACCGCCCCATCTCTCCCACATATCAGTTATTTCGAAGGTAATAGAACCAGTCGTTACTAATCAACTCAGCTATCACCCGGAGCAGAACA